CTCATCAACTTATCTCGTGTTAGCTCGGGATGATAGTCCCATGATCTTGAACCGTACCTTCGAATATCTCAAACTAACTTATATGTCTTTCGGGATAGTGATCCCAAGATTTTCATTATATAGTTTTGTGTGCTAAACTATACTTTATGATATATTATTGATCTTACAATTAGGAAAATATGGGGTTTTCCTGGGGTAAATACGATACATAATCGAATTGGTAACAAACGATAACTTAAACAATTTCACATAAGAAAATATGGGATTTTCTTGGATAACAAATCTTTTCGGAAACTAAAGGAAACCGATACATTTTCACAAAAAAAAACCGCTTATGAACTCACCAGCTTTATGCTGATTTTCAAATCGCTTGTATTCTCAGGTCCAAGTTAGACAGGTACCCGGTGATCTCTTTTGGCGAAGACGGAGTGCGTAGAAGACTCGTCTCAACTTTTGTTAATATGATGCATATGTATATTTGTATAACTTTACTTTTGAAACACATGTAAACTTTCATATATATATGTAATGTAATGTTTGTTTACTGTGAATACTATGTACATTGGATTTGATACACAACGTGGTAGTCAACCCCGGAGACGTTTCCGCCTTTGGTTTTCGGGGTGTGACAAATGGAAACCATAAAGTTGGCAACTTTATGTGTTATTAGGGTCTTAAGAGTGATATGGAGTTCGAATCTAGTGAATGGTTGATTTTTGGAACCTTGCATGTAAGTTGGATGTCTTTTCTTTAACTTTTGACCTAAATGAGATCTAGACATGTATTGGACATATATGTCTCAAAAGCATCAACTTTCCAGTGTATAATAGAGTTATAAGACCATTTAGAAAACTAAGGTTCAAGGCTAAATGGATTAAGGACTAAAAAGTTGGACTTTTAGCTTTAGACTGTTCTCATGATGTGAGACTTGGGGTCTCATGACATGAGGGTTGAATGATCCCGTTTCTGGTTAGCTTATTGGAGTTTACGGCATGGGAGAATGTTTCTCACGATGTGAGGTTAGCTCCAGTGACTTTTTATGTCTGAGTTGACTGAGTTGAGTCGGGATGAGATGGAATCGAACGGAGCGGGATCTCACGACGTAACGAAGGACCGGTCATGGCGTGAGGATGGATAGCTGACATTTTGGGCTTTTGGTTGGGCTTTTATGGAATTGGGCCTTATACATCTTTCGGATTTGGGTCGGTTATTGGACTTTTAGTGCAATTGAGTTTGGGCTTTGGTCTTTAGGCCAGTTGAGGGGAAGGGTAAAATAGTCCTTTACCCTATGAGTTGTGATCAGTGAATTAATTCCCGATTATGGTTTATGACTTGATTATTGATCATAATTGTATTTGATTGGTTAGTGCGGGGATTTTCAGTCTAGTAGCTCGAGCATCTGTTGGATTGTCAACGGAATGAGGTGAGTTTGCTCAATATACTGTAGGACATTAGGATTGTATGTGCTTGTAGTCTTTGTGACTCCTGTTGTATGTATGTATGCCTATGTGCATGTTTGCTATATGTATGTGGGGTGAAATAGACTCGGAGGGTGAAATAAACCATGTACAGCCTCGTGCTAACATATGAGTTGAAATAGACATGTGGGTGAAATATACCCGGTACGGCTTGAGCCAACACATGAGTTGAAATAGACTCGGTATAATCCTGAGCTGGCAGATATGCATGTTATGTGGTATTTTAGGGAACTCAGTAAGCTTTATGCTTACGGTTTATGTTTAAAATGTTTTTAAGGTAATCCCGGTTCGCGAGGGAAGGGCCCGGCTTGATCGCAACGCATCCACCAATGTTTCCGCACTCTATGATTTTGAGAATTATACTCTAATATACATTTGAATGATTGAATGATGTTTATGGTTGAACTAAAAATGATAATTTTACTTTATAATTTTTTGGATGTTACAACTAAGCTCGATTAGGCTCACGATCCCAAAACGAGCATATATATATATATATATATATATATATATATATATATATATATATATATATATATATATATATATATATATATATATATATAGTTAAGATCAAATAAGAAGGAAATTTTTGGTAGGAAGGTAAGAAGTTTTTTTTTTCTACATATTTTTTTCGCGAACAAACAAAATGAATCATTAGATGATTCATTTGTAAGATGATTTACAAGAAAAAAATCTAAAAAAAACATCTCGATGATTCATTTATATAATGATTTTGTTGTTATTCACTAAAATTGTCATAAAATTGAATTTTTTCTTAATTTACTTAAAAATGAATCATAAATATGTTTTTTTGGGAATTTTTTTATTGTGAATCATCTTACAAATGAATCATCTAGTGATTCATTTTTTTTGTTCGTCAAAAAAATATGTAGAAAAAAATATGTAGAAAAAAATGTGTAGAAAAAAAACTTGGGAATTTTTTTATTGTGAATCATCTAGTGTACACTGC